AGCTGGGAGCGGGATGTTCAGAGTGCCGCAGGGATCATCAGTGTCACAAGCAGTCTGTATTAATCTCCAAGCAGATCCTACGGGGGTAACGACAGTATCCAATCTGCCAAGCAGTGTCTGTTAGCCTTCGGGGGGTAATGGACTACTAGTGATCTCCAAGCAGATCTTTTTCTGGCTGCAAAGACATTATCAAATCGGCCAAGCAGTATTACATGTATACATTAGCCAATACCCAAGGGGTACTGGTTGGGAGTGGCATAAAAAAAATTTTAAAAAAGAGAGTGCAATAAAAATGTCTAAAAACACATTTACCATGGTGATAGAGCATATGGTTCAGGTCATTGACTTTATTTTTTTGGAAACGAAGAGGATGAAAAGGAAGAAGAAACAGAGCAAAAACAATATTATATTTTCCTTTGGTAAACCCAAAAAATCTTACCCCGCTCTCCAAAGAGGGACTTCTTGCACTGCTCATACTCCTCTCGTTGGTGGGCGCGGCCCTGCAGCCTAGCAACCACCTGGCTCCACAAGCCTGGTCTCACCCCATTGGTCAGGTCCCATTGCCATGACAACGACCTGGAAGGATCCAGAGGTCATCAGGAAAAGCCTAAGAAATTCTAGCCTCCTGTGCAGGCCTCTGGGCGGGTGGGAGTTTTCATACTCCATTTTGTGGAATATTTAGCACATTCTTTTACTGGCCATCCTACAACCAGCTGCCCAGAGATGGTTACTACCCACCATGCCGGCAAAAGAATGCGTTAGAAGTTCTACAAAATGCAGTATCAAAACTCCCACTTGTCCGGAGGCCTGCACAGGAGGCAAAAGAAATTCAAATTCTTCCCAAGGTGCTGTTGAAGACTGTTCTCTTTCTTATACTGATAAGATTATAGGCAGAAAAATTCAATGTTCTTAGCAAATGTCCCTTCTCCCTGTTGACTTAACTTGTATCGGTTTCAATGGCTAAGAAAATCGCATAATTGCAGGTTGCTTAATTTTTTTTCTGCTGCAACATTGGAAATTTCTCTGCAAAATGCAGACTGCAGATGGGTTTTTCTATCACTGAAATGTAAATGTATAAGGTTTGTGATGAATCTTTGAACTCATACACTTCACTGAAGAAGCATCAATATGAATTGCCACAAATTGAATTATTGCATTTTCCGACACTACCCCGGGTATCTTAGATCAACGAGGCTTGAATGAGATTTGAACCTTCCTCCTTCGGTGAGGTGACAGTGTAATACAATTTCTTCTCAAAGTTTCCTAGGATCATTGGATTAAGTGTTGTGATTTGCAATGTCCTTGGTCAAATTACATATAACCCTTGATGAACACTTATTCAATTTCTTACATTATGAAATCTCCCACAGATGAATCAACAGTAGAAAGTAGAGACAAATACACCAATGTGAACATTTTATGAATTTTACACACACACACACACACACACACACACACACACAATATACAGAGTGTATGTCAGGCAGAATAACAATGAGAAGAATAGTGATGTGTGCTGTAAGGTATATGTACACGTAGCAGTAATTTTCCACACAATTTCCTTTATGACCCTACTGAAAGGGTATGGGCTATTGGCTTTAGCACAGGAAATTGAATTGTGAGTTGCCGTGAATGTTACGCCTGAAAAGCCGCTATAACTGTCACAATTTAATGGTACAAAATCAAAAGCTTATGGCTTTAAATGACAGAAAATGAGGGACAAATCAAGCATGAATGTAGGGAATGTTCCCCTGTACATGTACATCTGATGTCTGTACATTTTATTATTATTAACATAATTATTATAAAATGTTGTATTCACTGGTTCATTTTTTGTGTGCAGAAAGAAAATATAGATATTTTTCAAAATGAAATATTTCAATTTTTAGTGCAAAAATATTACATTAAACTCCCCAATAGGCTTTTTGTGCTGCACACACATTGTCCTTTCCCTGGCAAAGTTTCCAAAGCTGTATAAAATTTTCTTCCATAAGAAATAAAAATCTATTTCCTTTTTCACTTCTTTGATCTTCGTTCAAGAGTCCCTTGAGTTTTTGTGAATGAGCAGCACTGATAGACTTTTTTTGTGCTGAACACACATATAGTCTTTTCTCTTGTTCCCTGTGAATGCGATTTCCTTCTTTCCTCTTTCCTTTTGAAATAATATTCTGTTTCCTTTTTCAATGCTGTTTCTTGATCTTCAGGAAAACAGGGTCCCCTAACAGAGTCTTTTGCACATATATTATTCCTAAGAAATAATACTCTGTTTCCTTTTTCCGCTTTTCTCTTCCTTGAAGTTCAGGAAGTTGGAGTCCCCTGACAGAGTTTCTGTGCACACACGTATATAAAGAAATACACGAGTCCTTTTTCAATACTATTCCCTCCCTTGATCTACAGGAAGACGGTCCCCCGACAGAGCTTTTTGTATATTCAACTCCTGCGTCTCCCAACTAGACAATTTGTACTAATTGTAGAACATGTTTTTGATGAGTCTGGCTGGGATCCTGTTGAGAATACATTGAGTACCACTGATTGATGTCTAATAAGTGTTGATTTTCAGGAGTGTGGCTGTTTTGCTCCCAGGTATCCGATCAAGTTAGAATTCCCACCACTTGCACTAAACAGTGACCCTGCCCAGGGCACACACTGTATCTTTGAAAAACCTTATTCAGGTTTTTAACCTCAATAATGGTGAGATGCCCAAGTATGATG